AAAACATAAAGTTAATACATTTCTGAAATGCCAGACGAAATACCGTTACACAATAACGATCGATCTGTATACTAACCGTTTCATACATATGTTCATTTGGAAAGTGATATATACCTGTAGGGTGTCTCAGAAAATGTACCCAAAAGTATATCAACAGCATAGACAAACCAATCGATATTTTCAGACATTTTTTGCATGGTCTTGTAGTAAAAACATATACGTTTTTTTTCCGTATACAAAGTTTTTAAATCATTTTTTCATTTTTAATACTTTAACCCTTAACTTTTTACACCACATAATCAATGTAACCTCATATTTCGATGACAGTCTGCATCCTTACTACTTCATTGTTAATCACATTTGATAATTTGGTGGTACGTTTTAATTTTTGTTCGGATGCTGGTCTTGTGTTGTTCTAGATCTCTTAGCTTGGGTTTAGCATAAAATGGTCCTTCAAATAGCCCCAGAGAAAAAAGTATGGGCCGTCAAATCTGGTGAATAGGGAGGTCCTCACAATGTCTTAGCCCCCTTATACAGAGAGCCCAAACGTTCAAGACACTGCATTGGTTGGGATTTTTTGTAGTATTTGTACATGTTGTGTGTAGAGGGGCTCTATCAGTTTGAGATTCGGATATCATTTGGCCATCGTCATCCTCAAACATCTTTCTCTGTTAGTATTTGAAGGCGTGTTTTAATGCCCATTCCAAGCAAAAAGACCAAGAGCAACTTAGGGGCAACGTCTAAAGAGAAATCCAAAACATTCCACCAGAATTATTATAAAATGTGATGAACAATGTAGCAGTAAGGATACAGGCTGTCATCGAAATATGAGGTTACATTGAATATGTGGTGTAAAGGGTTAAAGCATCAAATAGGCAAGACTGAAATAAAAATGGTATGTTGATATACTTTTGGGTACATTTTTTGAGACACCCTATATATTGGACATAACGCTTCTATCAGCATATTTACCTCAATTCTAGAAAAATAAATCTCATGTCCACGCTAATTTGATATTAACACATTAACATAACAAAATGTCACCACCTACATGTCGTTGCTCACAATATCAAACTTGGAGATGATCTTAAAAATATTGGTCAATTTGAGGCAAGTTGAAAATTTTTCTATGGGATGAATACATGCCTGGTCATCTGACTGTTAGTGTCATAAATGGTGACTATCATGTTTAAGCTGTTTTCTTTCAAATTCTCTATAGATGCGGGTGTCTGAGCATTTTTTCCTGGCTTTGTACAAATTGTTACTTTATTAGTTTGCATGGCCAAACATTTGGAATCCAGAGTCGACTAAGTTTAGCCGAAATGTTTAAGTTTATCAAAAACGAAAGGTATTTTGGCCTACTGTGCCTATGATATGCTATCTGGCAGCCGCATGCAATGATGGATACACCTCGCCATATTCACCATATATCGAATATATATATATGTTAAACAGTCATCAAGAGTAGACTGTACGCATACTATATCCTCTACGTTACAAGTGAAAATACATGACCATCACAATAAAATGATAGAATTCATAAATCATCTAATGAATACTTTGTATAACCGACACAGGTATTCATGAATATTAACATACGGCGACATTGACGTAATACGTATTCACACGAAAGGTTATTATCCCAGGTAACATTATTTAATCAACTTAAAGAGAAGCGGTTCTCATAATGTGAGCAATGTATGGTAATAAGTTAAAGGGGTATGTCAGACTAGTGTTTAATTTAGCTCAGTAGTTGAGTTTGCACAGCTCTTCGTAAACGGGAAATTGAAATAGAATTCTTAATGCTCTATAGCTTATTAAAGAACACTAAAAAGGAATTTTAAGCAACAATAATACAACTATAGGTTTATTGCACTAATGGAAACATTAAACCACACCATATCAAATCGGTAATACCATTGGGAACAATCTACTCGTGGTTTAATCTCTGATGAAGAAGAGTACCACACATTATCTACTCTGTTCAGCTGTATCGCAAATGCACATATATATGTATACGGCATTTGCATGTAAGCATTCAGCCTCAGAATATGTGCATGTTTCCTTAATCGCAATGGCTTTGCATCTTTTGTCATGATCAATGCGATTTGTGTGACCAAAAACGTTTCACGAAATAATCATATATCGGTATATACGAGGGGTGATCAATAAGTAATGGACGTTTTTTACACCGATGTTTTTCATATACTAATCCCTTTGATTTTCTCACCAGTGATACATCATTCAATAATCTAGCTATCAACTCTGATGATTTGAAAGCAAAACATGTAATAAATTTTGATATATCTTTATTTCCGTGAAGGAGGTATAGGTACCCCGGGACCGACATAACGTCACACATTCTGACGCTATTTTTGCTTGTTTAACAGTCATGCAATGCAGTTGAATGCAGGCTGAACAAAACTAACCATGATGGTCATGAATTACACCATTTTGATATGCCATACTTTGAATATGCCATACTTTTGAATATTTTATCATCAAAATGCCACATTCATTCATCCTTGCTGCAAGGGTATTTTACAAGTATATACCCTTGCTTCTCTCTATTCAATTGTTGGGCTTGTGCAAACAAACTGGACATTAAACAATATTAGCCTACATCACATACCCTGAGAGAACTACTAGACACAGTGTACAAGGGTAATTAAAATCCTGTTGAAGGGTCCACAAAGTTGTCTTTATACTATAGCAGTATGCCCTTACATATCTTATGACTTAGAAGTTTGTTATATGTAACAAAAAATCATAGGATTTATACAAATATTAGCTTAAGAATAAAACATCATCCGTAGAACATTCTATATGTCCAAAATTAAAATATTTAACCATTTCACGGAAAACAAAAAGAATATTGCAGAAATAAGGTGGTTTGAAGAGACACAAATGGTAAGATTATTCATAAGTTTCAGGAAATGAGACATGTAATTGGACAATTTGCACAACGCATTCAGTTTGCGTTGACCACTAGGAAACTCAGGTTATATAAGGCCCCTAAAATGAAACTACCAGGGCTTGAGTGAAGGGCTGAATTTGAGCATAAATGAAGTCCTTTGAAGAAGGATGACATTCATTTTACAGGGCCCTCTGCATAGGTTCCATCGAGTGCTAGCTACATGTACACATTTCCTCATCCTCTTAACCCAAGATTATGAGACAAGGCCGAATCCATTCTCTGACGTGGAAGCAGGATGCAGTGGCACAGCTTGTTTTGCTTCCTTTCTCTTTAGAAATTAGTAATACTGGTATATAAATAAATAAGTCACATGTGAGCAGATCTGGACAAAATGGTGCATGGCCAAGGGCTCAGTTGAGGTCCAGGGATATTGTATTCTGAACATTTTGAGATCTTTGGTGCATTGTCCATATGGAGTAGGGTGCTCCTTTCTCTCACCAACCCCTTCTTCCACAATATTTTCTCATATTGACCTGCAAACCCCAACCATACAACACTTTGACATCAGAATACTATACTGTTTATGTGTTACCAGTCAGCAAAATATTTTCAAACAACACAACACAAATTGCATATCAAAAAAGTTCAAATCTAACTGAAATATGCCAGACTGGCTAATTAAAACTAAATATGTGACGTTAATGTCAGTCCCTTCATGTAAATAAGGATATATCAACATTCATTACATATTTTGTCATCAAATCTTCAGAATTGATAGATAAATGAATGAACTATCACTGGTAAGAAAATCAAAGGGATTCTTCGATAAAAAGTATCTGTGTAAAAAGCGTCCATTACTTATTGATCACCCCTCGTATCGGTCCGAAGTTTCAAAATCGTCAAAATCTCAGCATGATAAAAAGAAAACGCATTATAACAAAAACGTAATCTAGACCTAAAAACATCGCTGGATACGAGATGCAGGATTAATCCCATGAAGTCTATTTTACATCTGTCTTATCACTGATTCGTTCAGCCAGAGTATACTCCTAGAAATTTAGTAGACCCTGATTGGATTTGTGGTAGGCAGAGTGTATGCTGCTGATTAGATTCAGATGGATAACGTCCAGAGGTTAAATTAACTCACAATGCATTTCTGATTTATTATTGATGGAATCACGATAATGTAGGATCGATGATCCATATCTATAGACTCGTAGAGACAATCCGATTGAATAAATGATACGGGAAATGGATAAACTCGTATTATTCCCGAACAGCACTAGCAACATGATTTGCAATGATTGCTCACATTCTATTTATAATGACACGTCGACAAATATTCAGATCCAAAGGTGTATGTATAGTCAACGGTTAATCTAGGAATCCTTGAAAGGGAAAGGGGGCAAAATTAAAGGTTTTTTCTCAGTTATTTTTGCAGATCCTGAAACTGATGGACATAGGATTTGTTTAATTGTGCTTATTGATACAATTCTGAATATTGATTGTGCCGGGATTTATGACTAAAGTCGTAACTACGATACAAAGAGACTAAATTATTCATTGAGATAAACCAATTGAACAGACCTTCTTGAGCACTTTTGATAAATCATACGTCACCGCTTACTATTTGTAAATCATTTGTCAGTAAATTGCAATGTTTGAACCATTTTGATTCTACGGAACACTAGAACATATATTGATCGGTTACTTCAGCATCTCGGACACATCATCGATAAAATTATATAAAAACAACACTCCTGTGGAATCAAGTGCAAAGGAAACACAAGTATGATGTATTTTAAAGTGTTTTGTCTTGATACATTACGCTTTTAAATTGAGAAAAGCACTTAGTAGTCATGAAAAAATCGAATTTTTCACTAATTCAACGTATAATCAGACAATGCAACACTTGTTACTCTAGCTTGTAATTTAGAATTCTTTTTTGAAATTTTACTTGGGGATTGCACGCCTTTCTAATTGAGAGGGAAGTAACTTTAAATCTGTTCAATAAAACTACTTAATCAACTGATAATACCATTTGTTGGGAGTTTATGCTCCGTATCTTTATCTTTTACCTTTTTACGTATCTTAATTTCCAGTCTTTTGTGATAAGATAAACAAAAAGTACAATTAATGCCTTTATTAATCATTAATCAATATTATTAAATTCATTATAAAATATCATTCGGATGTTATTAATCCACCATTTTCTGGGCTTTTAATAACTTGGTGGAAAAGGTACAGCGGTTTGTGCAATTACATAAACCTCCAATGGTCTGAATGGTATTAAAGCTGAAGGCAATGTACAAGAGTGTTTATACGTTCATCTAGATGTTTTTGAGAAGCTTCCAGCTAGAAATCATTTATGCATCGTTATCTGATTCTCCACAGTTGGATTGTTTATTCAGGAGCTTACATGCAAACGTTGAATAAGACTCATACTAATGCTCAAAGTGAGAATTACGGATCTGAATCAATGCTTAACCAGCAATGATTTTAGGTAGAAATTGCATTCAATGAGCTGGGGATTAATGTACAATTACTGAAAATAGACGATGGTTTAAGGAATGTCGAGAAAAAAATCAATATTATGGACAATGACTATTCAAAAGATCACATAAATGCTCATAACTGCAAAAAATATCACGTTCCGTAAATGTTTTATGCATGATAATGCGTTTTGTCATTTTATTATGATTAAATATAAACGTTTATTTAGCTGTATCTACTTTTCAGATTCCTCTGCTACTGTGGAACATGTACACATATAAAATATCGTGTATTACACACGGGTGACAAACAGATCTTCACCCCGGGGTTTGAGAATCCACGTAGACACAGATACCTCGATGTTGTTGTATTGTAATCATCCAAGTTGATAAAATTGACACAGATTTCATCGTCGCTTTCCACCGGGTCTAAAGACGGGTTCAGCAGAAAACATATTGGATATCATAAGTCTCTGTTGTACGGATTATGAACACTGAATGGAGTTATGCTTCGTGGCAGAAGAATCTCAGAGAGTTAATCAGGTGATTAATCAACTAGAGGATTATATAATTAATCTTACGATATTCGCGGAAGCTAATTCATATATACTTGTCAACGAGCTTGACTTTTTAAAGCTTTAAATGTGACAATATTTCGCGATCGGTGACATATCACAGAACTAATATAACAGGGAGATGACAACGTAAAAGTCCTATGCAATGAATGTACAAATAATACACATCGACGTATCACAAAAAGTCGCCATCAAAATTATGCTAGAACTATTCTGCTGAATCATTGGCATGATTGATAGTCATTTCTGATAGCCTTGATTTTCTATAAAGTTCCGTACTACAAAAACTGCAGAGAGTAGTATACCATCCTTTGATTATACATTTATCACCTTTCTTTGCCAATTCTTAACAGAAATTGCATGCTTTATATGCTGTACTCTGCAATGAGCTTCAGTCTAAAGGCCCCTAGAGGGACTCATGGACTATAAATTGGATTGTTACTTACACTAACGGCCTCTGTTTTATGTTCAAGCAGACCATTCGCAAGTGTATTAATGCTTCAACAATGGTGCAGAAAAGCCATAACCAAAATGGTTATGATGCCGGTACTTTGTTGAAAGTAGAAGGAGTGGATGTTAATAACACCTTCCTTGCTGTTATTCTGGACAATGGCGAAGTTATTCATCGGAATGTAACGAATAGCTACGATCACGTGGGTGCCTCATATTATGTTACCGCTGTTATCATGATATATGGACTCTCGATTGTGTTCATGATTGGATCGTTGGTCAAGAGAAGTAAATCCGACGTTGATAACAGCGTCAACATTTATCTTAAAGAAGTAGGCCTGGGTAGTAGCAACAAGTTTGAACTGCGCCACAAAAAAGCCAAGGCAAGGGCTAATCTTTCAGCTAAACTGACTCATCAAAATATTTCATCTGGCCTTAAACTTACTAGTTCTATAGCAACGGTTGCTGATGGTGGTAAAATGGCTGCCGTCGTCAAAGAAGGAAAGCCAAATTACTTCAACAATCCATGCATCGACCTCACCAGACTGTCCAATACCCAGTCATTGCTGCAAAATACACCACCGGGGGTGGCGAGTGAAGACGTTCAATTTCCAAAATGTAGTTCGGAATACGAAGGTGGCGACTCCGAAGGGAGGACGTTCCAAAGACAGTCGTCGTCGTCAACTGTTAAACTAGAGCCTCTCTTTGAAGAAGTTGAGGTTGAAGACGACGATGACGATGATTTGTTTCAAACTGAACACGCAGTTCTCATGGTGTAATGTTTCAAGAAATCGTGGCAGCACATCGATTTACGATTAAAGGTGACGCTATATTCTTTCCATAAAATTTGAATACATCCATCTTACAGGTGCGGAACAAATACTCCAGTCGCACGTTAATATGCTTCAAAAACCCATGGCCAACAGCTAGTATCTTGCATATTTGAACCAACGAGGAGTGGATTATTTTACAAATTCGAGGGCCCTGCAACAATGATATTTTTATGACACAATGTGCAAAAATTAATGTAGCCGGCAGCATGTAGCCACAATAGGCCACGATCAGTTGATTACATTTAATAATATAAGAACCACAATCCACACCATTACATTACAGATGCAGTTTCCAATCAGTTAATTAAGTAAAACACCATGACCTGAAAGAACGCTATACACATTGTGTGTTGCTATAGCTTCGATAATCCATTCAGCAATTACTAATTTCAGTTGTGGTATTGTTTTCAAGATTTAAGAGACCTGCTGAGGGTGTCATATCATCTTGCTTCATCAAGCTTCGGACCTATCCTCAATAGAACGTAGTGATTGAGCGTGAGAACCGACGATGGTGTCATATTGAATTAAGTGTTCCAAGGTTGATGTGCCGACATATCTATAATATATACAGAGAATATGTCGGGAGCTATCTTTTCAATAAACATACCAATGTCTCCCTGATAATCTAAAAAGGGATGTGAAATATCTCTTTAAAACTACAGAAACGTGAATGCCCAAAGGGTGCCCCTTCCCATATTGTATTGCAGTATAAAGATACAAAATTAGTTACAACTCTCTGGGCCTTTTAGGAAGTAGGCATTTCCAAGAAATGATGTATGCAAAGATATCGTAAAATGTTGCCTTTTTGAAACTACACATTGCCCTTATTGGTAATAAATCCCGAAGTTGACATTGGTAAAGCGATTTAGAAAACTGTGGAAACAAACGTATTGATGTTGTTACGCGGCAAATGGCATATATTTATGGTTGCACGGTATTTGTGATATGGGTGAATATGCTAGACTCTCGCCTGCGGCATATGGCATAGTCTGAAGGTGAGTATGCCATATTCCGCAGCGAATATTCAAATACATTGATTTCAGTAAATAAACGATACTCACTTGCGAAATAGACAATGCCCACTTGCTGAATATGTCATATACCGCAGGTGAATATGACATATACCGCATGTGAAAACGTGATACAGAGATCCTTGATTTGATTCAATTGGTCGACTCTAAATGTAAAACTTTGCTTGATTGCCAATATAGGTAGTGCTTCGAGTACTAATATATATGAATCCTATATTTATTGAGTAAGTTTAGTACGTGAGATTGCTGGGCTATTCTTCTGCATCATTTGATTTATTCAGTGCACTGTACTGTTGATTCAGTTGTCATTATAATTATTTATAAACTTTTACCCGTTCGTTCAATCGATGCAATTGACAACTGTGTGCTTTTTAAATGAGTATGCCATATACCGCAGGTGAATCTGTCATACACCGTAAGTGAATATGCCATATTCGTTGCGGAATATGACATCTTGTGTAGCGTAACAAATGTGTGTAAATATGGAATATACAAGTCTTTTTTGAATTTCTGCTTTTGTTTACGAAGTGGACATAAATGCTTGTAGCATCATATCTAAGTTGTTAGAATGACAGTATGACAATTGCCGGTGAATGAGTACATGTGGATTTCCTTTTTATAATCGTCGTATGAGAGTCAGAGTCTCTTTCCATCATATCCCTTTTTGATTTTCGATCCACTGTTCCCCCATGGAAATATCAGGAAATGATACAATGTATCATTTTTATCACATCATCGGTGGGATATAGTCGTCATAGTCGTCGCGATCGTGATCGTTATAGTCCCACTTTTTTGTCATCGCCATTTCAGGAAAACCACTCATCAGAATATCGCCAAATTGGCACAAATGATAGAGGATATCAAGTTCTAGAGCTATTAACTTTTGGGCTGCCATCTTGTTTTCTGGCGGCCATTTTGAAGGTTTTCGGAAAATCTTGTCATCGCCATTTCAGGAATACCGCTCATCAGATTTTCTCCAAATTCGCACACATGATAGAGGATATCAAGTTCTAGAGCTGATTACCTTCTGGGTGGCCATCTAGCTTCCTGGTGGCCATTTTGAAGTTTTTTTGGAAATTCTTGTCATCGCCATTTCAGGAAACCCGCTTGTCGGATTGTTTCCAAACTCACACACATAATAGAGGATATCAAGTTCTAGAGCTAATTTACTTTTGGGCGGCCATCGTGTTTTCTGGTGGCCATTTTGAAGGTTTTCCGATAAATCTTGTCATCGCCATTTCAGGAAAACCACTTGTCGGATTGTCTCCAAATTCTAACACATGATAGAGGATGTCAAGTTTTAACTTCTGGGCAGCCACTTTTTTCTGGCAGCCATTCTGAAAGTTTTTTTGATGGTGTGATCTCGTTCACGTCATGTGCCTTGTTAGAAGAGGCATTAGAGAATAACGGGTGGCTAAATGTGATGAGAGCTCGGTCAAAGGTTATATATTGATATGAAATTCTCATGGTTCTTACAGTCAGAATAATTATTTGTCACAAACATGATTTAACACCGTAGTTTTGTTTCAAATAATACAAAATGTCAGTCATTAAAATACTCTTGGCTTGACTTTGTACATAAATTAGTAAAAATTGAAAATGGCCTCAGGGACAATCTACTCATGAGTTTTTTAGAATAGGATAGTTTCTAAATAGCAGAAAAATCAATGAAATCTCGTGCTGCCATCTTTTATTCAGCTTTTAACTCTGGCTAGAGCTCCATTCATTTACATGCTAAAATCTTGGAAAAGTGGCTTAATTTCATGATTTATCAAAGTGTGTTTGTTGAATCTGTATAAAACTTGAATGATATACCACATGATGACCCTGTTTATGAACATGTTGTGATTAAACATGCTAATGTTGATTGACATACAAATAATCCACGGTTTTAAAGAATTTTAGCATTGCATCTGTGGACATTTGGCCCAACTTTTTTTAAATTGTCATAGAAAATTATTCAAATTACATAACTGTGTAAATCAAAGCTATTTTAGGAGAAAACATTCCACTGAATTCAAATATACCATTTAAAAGAAGGTAATGTAAGTCATTAGAGGTCTAATATGCAAGTCTCTTAAAATCCCACGAAAAACGAGATTTAGCGAGATTTCAAAAGCTATATGGAAACTATACTATTGATACTCGTATAACACGGGCACTAACCAGACCTCAACATGCATTGAGCATTTGAGGATCTAGGTTGAGCTGATCGAGATCTGGTTAATGTCCGTGAATAAGTTGCACTAATAAAACGTTTAGCTTTTTTATTAGATTAACATGGAGAAATTGTTTTAACCTCATTCAACTTTGCACAATACAAAACACCATGAACATTAAGTATTCTATGGTAAATATCTTATGAGAAACATATTTTTCAATAGCATTTTCGACATTTTGTCCCCACCATGCATCAAAATAAACAGTTATAAGTAATTAATTTGACTCTAATAGGCAACAATTGATTAATGTAAATTGACAATAAATTGACATGTATATGGAAAAATATGTGTGTACTGTGTCTTTATTTTTATGGAGCTGAAGACATGTGCTGACGTGTCACGGTTGTCTGCCTAACCTCAGGAGAAATCATGAAGCATTTTAAGAATCAACCATCCGCGCACAGAGGCAGGCTTGTCTAGATCTAGATCTCTTCTTTTTTAGAAACATCTTTTCAAACCCAAATTGACCTCAAACTCACACAAATAATAAAGGATCTGTTAATATCATATCTTGCATTTTCCTGCATCAGCCAATCCAAGTTTCAGGCACAAACGCCCTTAACTTTTGTCTCCTAACAGGATTCTAATAGGGCGGTATATTTTTCATACGATATGACGAGGTGACGAGGATTTGCCCTCCAATTTTACGGAAATACAGAAATGACATATCGCCATCTATTTTTCCATTGCAATAATCTTAACAGCAATGCCAACAAGAATAAATCTGAAATGATCAATGTTTTCCATCAATCGCCATCTATATTTTGCAGTACGGACTATTGACGACTCGCACTCTTGATTTGGGTATTATTGCTGAAATACTCTCCGTAGCAAAGCCTAAATTAGAAACGAACTATTATGAAAAAACAATTCAATTAAACATCACACCGTTAGACAGGAGTCGAATATACCTGTGTCTCGAGTATAAGGATGGGGATGAAACACTCCCTGTATATCTGGAGTAAACATGCGAGGAATCCATCCAAGTGTATACTTTGACGCTAAAATCTCGTCTGGCCCCGTACCTGGGGCAAGGGTGCAAACATTCTATATGGTGTGGGGCAAGGGTGCAAACATTTAATATTGTGTGGAGCAAGGGTGCAAACATTATATATGGTGTAGGATAAGGGTGCAAACATGGATATGTAGATAGATAGATAGACATGGCTCCATCAAAAGCATCATGTTACTCTGAAATTAACAAAATTACAGTAGTCTCGCAATATATTTTTTATGCACTGTGCAGTAGCTATAATCGCTGTACCTTCATGCAGGGTTTGTTCATGAGAATGAATAATTAATTACAAAAACTCATAAATCACCGAGATGTACATGTACACCTGAATATGTGTTTATTTATCCATTGTCGAGTTGTTTTAATTATACTGATTCATTTTTGCATCGATGAAAACTGAGAAAATGTGTTTTTAGATCGCTATGTCAAACAATTGGTAATATCTAGCCAGGGTTATTAAAATTGTTTACTAAATATCATTTTGTTGTAAATTAAATTATCGTTAACATTATTGTTGGTGTTTTTGTTAAGAAATAGATATTTTATCAGGAATATTGACTAGGGGGTGTTTTATTACCCACATTGTATATTGACAATAACGTATATTATAATCACCACCTTAATAATTGCGAGGCCTGTTCTTTGGGTATTAGCTACAGTAGTTCATGCTCGAGTCAGATTTGCTCCGATTCATCTGCCGGCGCCCGTCCGATTGAGTATCTTGTTCAAAATTGTATTCAGTTTTAAACATAACACTCAATTGGCCGGGCGCCGGCCTGTGAATCGGAGCAAATGTGACTTATATATTGACTTGAGCAAGAGGTGAAGCCACCGTGTTTTAATTTGGGCCGTGACTATTCCTCATTATCTTCCAAGGTCCAGGAGAGTGAATAACGAGTTTTCAATAGGTGGTGATGATACTAATAACCTCATTATTTCAGCGGGCAAACCAGTGAAATCGTGCTGGGCCCCTACCACCCCCTCCCATGCCCGCCACTGTTAGTAGCCACCTTCTGTACTAAAAATAAATCACTGGCTATATAGCAAAATGCTATAATACAAACCAATTGGAAAAAATTGA